TTCACAACCGCTGCAAGCAGCTCAATGACCTCAGGGAAATTTAAAAAGCCATAAAGCACCTTAAAGCAATTTTGCTTCACATTTAAATGATGGTCCCAAAGAGAGACTCATAATGTTCAAGAGAGCAGTTTGAGAAATGTGCATACCTTATCTACTGACCTAGCATTTAAGAGACACATACATCACCACATCAAAATGCTGTCTGCTGATGAAGAACTCTGCTGGGTCTCAGGCTAATATGTGTGGATTTGTGTGTGCAGCTGTTTTTAGTGTCAGTGTAAGCAGCTGTACAACTACATTAAAGCAACTGAAAAATACACATTATTTCATTTACATCATCAGTTCAACACGATACTATGACACACAGCATAAACTTCACAAGCTATGCATCTTCCATTTCCTCACTAAACTAATACAAATACAAATTATGCAACAAAAAATGTCTACAATTAAACAAACTCTTGTTTAAATACACAGTGGAGGGAATGGATAGACACTACCTCTGCTGACCCATCTCAACACCCAATCCATTATCACAGTAAATACCAGCCAAACATTCCTGACACGGCAACTGAGAGGTTATAAAAAGCATTGCTGTTGAGTAAACACATGTATAATCATATATCTGTGGGTCGATACAGCAGTCACTGCTACTGTATTGCCATTTGCCCTATGGCAGCACTAGTTTTAGATAGAGATAAATGGAGTGTACAAAAAAAACCCTATCATCAGAATGCTCTGGACCCCATTAACCAAATTGTCTTATTTTTTATGTCCTGTTTCCCAAAAGCACCATACATTAACCCCTTAACTGTCACCGTCCAAATATTTTAGTAATCATCATAAATCAAATATAATTTGAAAGCTTAGAAGCCCAAGATTCATCCTGTGAAAACCATTTTGAAATCGGACATTGCGTTACCATGGAAATGGTACTTTAAAATCTTTTTTTTCCTTAGTGGGCGGTGTCAAGTGTCATATTACAAAATGCATTAAGCTCTTTTACAATCAAAACTTTTTATAATCTTGACAAAAAACATATCATTGGAAAGGTCTGAGTTAGATAGATTTTGAGATAGAAGTAATATTGACAGAGAAATCTAGACATTTGTGACAGAAAAATGCATTACAAAATGTAATAGAGTTTGGATGGCACCCGGTGGCTGTTTGTGGTATAATGCCGTAAATAAAATCTCACAGGAACCTTTTTTTCATTTTTTTCATATCAACTTCAAATTTGGAACATAACTTATTTAGACATAAGGCTTTAATTTTTTAGAGTAATAACTTATTTAGACATAAGGCTTTAATTTTATACCAATTTTAGAGTAAAACCTTTTATGTAAAATATTTATTATATATAAAATAAAATAAAATTAATATAGTGCATTTTCTTTACAGTACATTTAAACTACCATAACTTTTTGATACTTTAATAATTCCACTTTTGCGATAATCTGCTGATTTTCTTCTTTAAAAAGAGACCAAACTTATGTCTGTATTCCAAAGTGTTCATAAATTACAACAATTTAAGTTTAGATAGTGCACCTGCATGCCTATTTTAAAAAATGGGGGGTGACAGTTAAGGGGTTTTAAATAGCACTTAAAATCACCTAAGATCTACTAAGATCTACTAAGATCTACTAAGTTGCTAAGTGCATCAAAATTACATGTGAAAAATGACACTTAAAATAACGTATTTGTCTATTCAAGGTTGTAATGCTTAAGGTTTATTCAGTGTACAATGTGAGATATGTTTATTTATATTTTGTTTAAATATATATTTTAAATTAAAATAATTTAAAATGAAATAATTCAGTTAAATAATATGGCATTTTAATTAAATTAAATATATTTTAAATGGAAGTTATCTACTAAGTTACTTATGAATTTTTTTGACCTTATATATGTAAATGTATATATGTAAAGCTATATGGTTCATGTACTGTAAAATGCATTCATAACCAGGGTTATTATAGTTAACTAAAAATAAAACACAAAAACTTTAATTATTTGAAATAAAATATTAATAAAAAATAAACATTAATAGTATAAAATAATTTAAAAATATATATTTCAGCTAGTTGTCAAAGCAACATTTCACATTTTCATGTAGTTTAATTTGATGTATTAAAACAATTAAAACTTAAATGAAAATTAATACAATGTATATAGACATATTTAAAACAAACTAATAAAAATGACAAAAACACTTAATACAATTACTAAAACCGTAACTAAAATTAAAATGAAAACAAAGTTTCCCATGTGTCCAATGAATATTCTTCTCACTCCTACAGATACTGTGGGCCTATGTAGAGAATAATCTGCACTTTATCCAGCACTATTCTAGGGATCTCGACCCAGTAACATTAGACAAATGTACACAGACACCTTGGCTTCAGGCATGCACATCTCATCACTCAAACACTCTGCAATGGGTTCACAGAGATGCTTTCTTTAGCACTTGACGCCTTTTTGACACTGTGACGCTACATGCATGTGTCTGTCTGTCTGTCAGATGTCCTTACCTTTTGTAAAGAATTCAGATTATTTTCTTACTGAACACACTGTTTCATAGCAGTTTTATAGAGAGTACACACAGAGTTCATAAACTGTGAGAATGAGCCATAAAGCCTGCATTAAATATGAATGATGAGGAATTAATGTTAAGTAACTTCAGAGAGAGCTTCATCTGCCTCATGTTTTCCCCCTAGAGCAGCATTTTTAATAGACTCCTTAATTATGTATATGCTGTGACTGAAAGCTTTCCGTTTCGTATCTGTATAGCCTTATGTGCTACTGTACATATTTCAGAATGATGGTAACTAGTAAACTGCATCACCTTCATATGCAAGTTAATCAAGTTATTCTATTGAAAACCTTCAAATTATTTGATTTATTTCATAATTATGTAAGTATTCCATTTCAGTGTGAGGTCAATGGTGTGACTACATTGGCGTGCCCTTTCCCCGCTAGTTAATCTCCAACAAGAACAGTATTTAAATGAATGCGCAATACTGATATCCAGAGATAAAGTGAGATAGAGGGATAGAAATCCTAATTTACCTGTCATTACATCATCCTATATGCACAATATCACACAGATCTGGTTCACAAGAGATTAAAGCACCACCATTCTCTCTGTTCTGCTTTAACACATTAGCATCCTGTCCCCGGGCTATAAGCTCTTTGACTATGGTAACCTCACCTCTTAAACAAGAAACTTTATCTGATTTCTACAGTGAGTTCATTAGTACATCCACCATTTGAAGAAACTATAAGTATAATAAAACATAAAAACATAAATAAATCGGAATAAATATTTATATGTAAAAAATAAACTAAAGCAAACATAATAATAATAATAATAATTATTATTATTATTACTATTATTATTATTATTATTATCACAATATACAATTATATTATTACAATTGTACTAAATATATTTAAAAAATAAATGCTATATACTTACATAATACAAATGATTACCATTAATTATATTAATTAATTTATTTGTTAAAATGTATAAAGATAAATGCTATATTATATAAATAAACATACATAATTACATAATATTAATAATTATTATTAATTATATTAAGTATTCTTTTTAAATTATTATGAATGAATTATTAATAAATGGTTATGTATTAAGATATCTTTATATATATATATCGTATCATTATTATATACAATTATATTGTAAATGTTGTTGTACAATTACATAATGTTAAATATTATTATTACGATTACATTTGAATTAACATTATTACATTTTAATAACATTTTGAATAAATGCTATATAAAATAGAGAAATATATAATTTATATATTAATTTATACATGTATATTATAGTGTATATTTATATTTCAGATAAATAATGTATTAAAATATATAATTTGTATATTACATAAATACATCTTTTTTCTAACTTACAAGAAGAGACTTCACTGCGCAAATTTTTAAAATTAAATTAAATAAATAAACAACAACAACAACAACAACAACAACAACAACAACAACGGTGTAACATTGGTTGATTGTGGAAACAGAGCTGACATTTTTATGAAATAACATAATCCCATCACTGGATAATAAATGCAAAGCCATGCACACACTTGACCATCGTCCGTGATAAGAACACTGATCGTTCATGACTTCCACCGCCCACTGGACCTAGCTAATGAGCTGGTATGTATGTTAATAAATTAAGCCAAAAGATCTTGGCGCAAGATTTTGGGACACAAGCGCTCTTTGTTGTCGTGGAAGGTCACGCCAGACTGAGTTACGGGTAATCAGTTTCACTCTCTGCACAAACTCAATCCACACGCCAAACGCATCGGAATTAGGACAAAACTGACACAATTCTATCACTTCTGACTAAACTTGTTGGGTCAACTATTACAACATATCAGAATCAGAGAGCAAACATCTTAAAAGGAAGCTTGAATTCTAGAGTAATGCAGCACCATCCAAATGTGCAGCAGTGCTACTTTAACGATGTAAGCAACGCCATGTAGCTACTGCAATCTGAGAGCTCAGCAGAGAATAAAAAATAGGCCTAGGTGATGAGAAAGTGTTACAACATATGATAGCTGTAGCTACACTACGTTTTGAGGTCACCAACTTGGTCATTAATAGTGCATCTTTGCTTTACGCATACAGTTTTCCTGTTAAAGTATCCTTATTTAAGTCTCTATTTAATGCTCAATAATGTTCTGAAATCTCCATTTGGAATGATGTGCTTCTGCAATATGCTACTATTACATTACTAATATCTGCCTTTGTAATCTAACTCTGAATCTGCCTCTGGAATTGAAATCTGCAGCTGAATTTTGTATCTGTAATTCTCTGAAAACTACATATAAAATGCCTTCTCTAGTTGTTTCTGAAAATGTGTCTTTGAAATCTGCCTCTGTAATCGCAAACTCTTCTCATTCCGTCTGCGCCGCCGTGATTCTGCCAACGTGTGACCGCGAAACAAGCATTCTTACCCTGAGCAATAAGCACGCATATGGAGTCATCCACCGCAGTTAACGCGCCGCACGTAAGTCCATCAAAGTCAAAGACGAGAGAGAGGAGGTCTGAATCCAGACTGAAAGCGCACACCTGCTCCGCTCGCTTCTTGTCTGCTGAGCCGACTCCAAATAAACGCGTAAACGCGCATTGACTATGCCAGTGCGCGGCACCACCCTTTCCTCTTGGGTCAGTGGCTCTTGCGCGGAGCTGGAGAGCTATTGAAATAGCATTGCGGTAAAACTGTCTCTTTACACATGACGAAACGCCTCTCCTTATCGGCTCCAGAAGGAGGAGGAGGAGATGGAAACGCAAGATCACATTCGTTTTGCATACTCAAACCGACGCGACGCTTGCGCACGTCACGAACGCGAGAGGTTAGTCCTTAATAGAGACTTTATCCAGACATCATCCAATCGTCGCTTGAGGAGTATTTTATATCACAGCCTATAGAGTGAGATGGAGAGCAGCGCCGCGCATTGGTCCCTCACAGATTCTCAGTAGTCACGGCAACCAGAACACTTCAATCAGGGGAACGCGGACTGTGATGTGAGATGATGCTGAGGTCACCTCTGCCACTCACGGGCAAAAAGAACGCACTGAACTGCTGTACAAATCTCGAAGTTTGATGAAAAGTTACATTGAAATGTATGACAGAATATTACTGCTACCCTTTGATTTGCCACCAATTTAGGACTACTAGTCGTCTATAGGAATGTGGAGATGATATTAGCAAAAATTTCTGAAGAACTAGATTCTTCAGGGTGGATACATGCTTGATCACCTTTATTCATGTATATTCTTTCATTACTAAACATCAGCATTTAATTCACTCTGAACTATATGACACAAAAGGACTTCTTTAGTTCTGATATCATTTCCGGCAGCATGTCATACCACATCTGGACAGCAGTGCTGGGAAACACTGTGACACACAGTGACAAAGCCTTTGTTTAATGGTAAATCTGATTATTATTTTTTTTTGTTGTAATTTTCAAATATTTTCTTCTTCTTTGGTGAAACCTTGAAACTGACAACAATGCTTTGGCAAACTGGTGTGTTTTGTGAACTGGGACAGCGTTTATGTAATTTTAATAGAGAATAAATAAATTCTAGTTATACTTGACCATCACAGAAATATTATTTCTAGCTCTATAGTTCAGTCTAGAAGCTTAGGATGTTGTGTAAAGGTATTCTTAAGGCATCTTGTTGGTAATAATAATAATAATAATAATGGATTGGTAGGTGTGTATTTGTGAGGGATGATATATGACTATGGGAAGAATAGATCAGGACAGCAGCTATAAAAAAATTATCAGAATCTGATTTTGTAAATCTAATACAATTTTGATTATTATTTATTTATTTATTTTATTGATTACATATAAAATCAAATATTGCTGTATTTGAAAGAACTAGTTGCCCTACTTTATAAATGTGTCCCAGTTTGCCTGTGTGTAATGCCTGTGATTTGGGGTCTGTGTGTTTTGAAGAATTTCAAGTTTATGTATTTAATAGTTCTTAATATTAGTTCTTAATATATTATTTGATTATTTCTTAATGTGTGAGGCGCCAAGCCATTTGGACTATGTATTAAAACAATGCAAATGATCAATTAAAAGAGTGCCTCACTTTACCTATACTTTTCTAATCAACTGGACATAATTTTCTTAAATAGAAAAAAAACCCATCACAGATGTGATTTGGACATGCACAGATTATGTCAGGGTAAAGTGACACTGTGCCATTGTTACCATAGGCCAAACCAGTTCATTTAGAGCTTACCATGTCTAGTACATTTTAAAATATATTTTACAGTGCAAGTACACACATTAAACAAGACTCTACCAAGGATCAATCTGACACACACACACACACACACACACACACACACACACTAATATATTATTCTGTGGCAGCATGGTGGGTTTCCCTCCAATTTGACCTACATATTAAAAGACCAAGTCATACAGCATCCCTCACAAATACACACCTACTAATCCAAACAGACCTCAGAAATGCAAAACCAGACAAACCAAACTTCACAAAGCATTTACTTACTGATTTATAACACTAGTAGTCTATATTCACCCTCAGAACCCCATGCATTATGAGGACTGATAGCAATGGGAATACATCATTCATAGCAGCTGTTAACTGGAATTCTGATAGCTTATCTTATCATGTATACAGGATTTAACTAACTGAATGGTTTCATCTTTGCCAGTGTATAATTATAATGTCACAGCCACAGAAGGGAATCTGAAGGCTAATATTACAATGCATCTCATTGTCTTTTTTCCTCATTATCTATAGATTTGCTCATTATCTATTTTTTTAAGCTAAACAATGAATTTAACGTGTTCTTACATGTACTAAAGCATATTAAATTACATTTTATTGTTTCAGATTAAAATGGCAAAATTTATTACATAACACTAAACAATAAATCAAAAGAGTTTAAAGGTACAGTAATGTTTCCTCTGATACAGTAGCTCTGATCCTCACTCTAATGTATAACAAGTTGCTGTCAATCTCCCTCTTAGCCCAGGAGTGACATATTGCACTCAACAATATAATATAATATAATATAATATAATATAATATAATATAATATAATATAATAATTACAACTGCACTGTCTTAGAAGTAACTGGTATATGGCTAAACCAGGGGCTTTGTGGCTGGATGCCACATTCTCATGAAATTTTAAAATGTTTTTCCTCAGAAGACATTTAGCCATGGTCTGGTGGGATTCAGACAGACAGTAGATGCAGGACATTTTTTCAAAATATCTTAACCATGTATTTTACTGTACTTGTCTATTTTTACAATAACTGTTTCTAAAACATTGCCTCCTTATAATAATAATCTCATAAGAGCAATAAGGAGAAATAACAAGAGAGGGCATTTACGGAGAGATTTCAGCTCTGTCACAAATGCCCCACTGCACTGCTATACTGGCGTGGAGACTGAGTCTCAAATACCCCACATCAGTAACACCTCAGGCTACTGCAGATCAAAGATGTCCAAATATAATCTCTTTACTCACAGCTGACCTTTGCAATAGAATATGATTGTGTGTACATGTGTGTATGTGTTTGAGTATGTGTTTAGTCTTAGCAGCTAGCCAGGTCTCTTGGTTATCTGAACTGGAAAATTCACCATGACATTGAGGGGATGTTTTCGAGGAGCCCGTCATCAACACATGGGATCTCAGTGGGACAACGATAATGAATAAAAATACAAATGTTCATTGTTGGTTCATGTTAGCTCAGCTACATAAAATAATATCAACAGATACAACTTTTGATTTTAATAATGTTTTCGAAAATGTTGAAATCAACATAATCCACCCAAAAATGAAAATTCTGTCATCGTTTACTCACCATCAAGTTGTTCCAAACCTGTATGGGAAAACAAAAGAAGATATTTTGAAGAATGTTGGTGACCAAAAAATTGCTGGTAGCCACTGACTTTCATAGTAGGGGGAAGTCAATGGCTACCAGCAACTGTTTGGTTATCCTGGTCATCCCTGATCTTTCTTGTGAAGCTAAATGACCATAAGGTTTTTTCTGGTTAAGCTAGTTCAAAGGATCAGGGAAGGACACTAGCATACTAGCTTCTAACACATACAAGTGACTTTTTCAGCTAGGATTTCTTTTTGTGTTCAAATGACAAATTTAAATAAGCTGAACTGAATCTAAAGTAATATTTGCGCCTCTTTATTGGTAGCTGGGTTAAAACCAAGCTAATTTACACTGTGGAACAGTATACACCCTGAAAACACACGGATGAGTACCCACATACACACACAGCACATCACATGTCACAGCCCTCCACTTACAGCATGACGTCATGCACTAGTCTCTAATTATCTCACATGTGAGCACCACAAATACCATGGAACGTAGCTTGCATGCTTTCTGTTCACACATACAAACACAGCCACACTTTGTTGCATCTGCAATATGTGATGAAAGACACAGGAAAAAATAACACCCTTATCTCCTGCTACAGTTCACTTCACATTCCCTGCACTTGATAGTGTGGCTTTATCTCTGTCTGCTTAGCTTTAGCCACGTAGCATTCTAAACAGGAACATTTCAGCATGAGGTCATTTTTCTAAGAGTAATGAATGGATTCAAGAGCTCTTTAGCTCACCTTTGATCTTGAGATGGTGGAATCTTTACTGAATGTGCACTCGATTTTTTATGTTGTGCTGGCTAATATTGCAGCCAAGTAGTTTCACACAGTCTTCAGTAAAGAATGGCATTGTAGAAATGCGTTATTCACAGTGTGTGTGTATTTATATATATATATATATATATATGGGTGTTTCTGCAACTACGGGCACTTTTAAGTCCCAGAAGTGAAATTTTTGATTTATGTTCAAATTTGTCATATGTTGCTTTATAAATATATTCACAGTGTCATTACAATATGGGTGTTTCTGCAACTACGGGCACTTTTAAGTCCCAGAAGTGAAATTTTTGATTTATGTTCAAATTTGTCATATGTTGCTTTAAAATTATATTCACAGTGTCATTACACACCTTGACAAAAATATAATTAATGATTAATGTGATTTAATATAAAATTATGAAGCATAAAATTGTTCATGTCCCACAACTGGTCACAATGCTGAGATACGTAAAATAAGTTAATTGAATTACAATTTGACATTATTTCAAATAGAATTGTTTAATACACATATTAATTTACAGCATCTTAATTTTTAAAAATTATTTACTGATAATTTTTATGATTTTGTCAACTAAATGTGCCTGTCCCACACTTTTGAGTCCTTACCGCAACAATGAAAAAAGGCTTTTATTTTTTCAGAAAAAATACATTTTATCAAAGACAAACAAGTCTAGTTTCTATGGAAACAGAATTTAGCATGTGAGCACATTGCCGACAGATCGGGCCACCTCACTACCTCACTCACAAGATCCCAAACATATAAGGTAAAAATAATATTTTCTGTGTCAGTATTTATTGTGTGTCCTCACCATACAGCTTAGTAATTCTGTACTTTGAACTACGTTTTAAAAATAAATGTATATTACTGTTTAATTCATGCATATTAAGATGCTAAGAGTCAAAACTAATGTAGTAGATCTTGCTAGCTGCCAATTAGCTGCAATATTAGCAAAAATTTAATTTCTGCTATGTCTTTACCACAACAAATTTAGGTGTTGCGGTAAAGCCCTTGTGTTGCAGTAGAGACAAGTTCAAGGTTTACTGTATATTAAATTACAAATATTCAGTCTATATGTTTTCTGTTTCTTTTATACTGTTGTTCTCTACAGTAGCCTGTTTTTGATTTCATGGCATTTTAACATTGTGTCCTTACCGACGCAAGATGTCATTACCGCAGCTCTGCTTTATTTATTTTATTTTTTTTTCATAT